ATACGATCATATGATCCTTCCATTTCAAATGTGCTAATATCTGCCACAATTATCTCCACATTCTGCAGACCAAATTTTCTGTATCAAAAAAAATAATAAATTTTATTTTGTTATTGTTGAGAACATAAATCATGGGAAATTTTGTAAAAAGTTAGGACTTACCCACACTGATCTTCAATGTGAGCTTTTTGGGTGACTGAATTGCAAATTCCAGTAACTTTACAATTACTAAACTTTTTAGCAATATATATAATTAAAGATCCCCAACCACATCCAACATCAAGAACAGTATGCCCATCTTTCAGTTGAGCTTTTTCACAGTAAAGCTCCAACATTGCCACCTCAGCATCCTCTAATGTGCTCAACTTGTCACGAAAATAACAACAGCTACAGAAAAAATGCAACATACTTTCAATGATTTGTTTATTATAAAATCTAGCTAGTTATTTTATGCAATCTTGAATCAGTATTTGGAAAAAATGAAGAGATTGATACCTGTATTTGAAATTCTTCCCAAGCACAAGGTTGAAGAAGGAGGTAGGAAGCTCATAATGTTGAGTTTTAGCATCTTCTGTCTTCACAGCTATTGGCATTTCTTCTAATGCTGCAAGATAACCAATAATTTCACAAATAAATAAATGAATCATATATGTTCTTCCCAATTTTGGAAAGAAGACACTAAAATCGTGTTCAGTTACATAATTAGTCCCTCTAATTGGAGCATATTGTAATCGGACCCTTCACCCTTCCAAATAGGTTTCCAAATCGTTTGCTAAATTCGGGTTTTGACATTCCTAGAAATCAGTCTATTCCTTCAATAATCCATACACAGCTACTGTTGCTCCATAATTAACTCCAATTTAGTGCTAAGAGGAAGATTCGTAAAACTACATGTCTAATTATCCCAAATTTGGGAAAGTGAAAGTGAAACAAATGCGGTAATTAAGTGAAATCGGTAGAACAATTCGAAGATAAAGGTACATTGGGTTTTGAAAACAAATAAGAGAGTTAGATTAGATAGATATGATCTTACAATGAACAAAAGCCATAAGGTCTTGGAGTTGTTCTTGAGAGGTGGGTTTGAAGCAGTTTCGAAGACGACCAGCTAGAAGGAGACGAGTGAGCCTGCGTATAACTGCGTCTGGAAGCAGATTGCGTTCGAGGGAAGTTAGCATCAGCTTCACGGTGGCGTTGTAGGGTACCTGTAGTAAGTTGCTCATTTCTGCGAATTTTGCGTTGAAGATAGGAGAAAGTGGTCGGAGAAGATAAGATTACAGTTTACTTATGGCGGGTGAAATTTAGACAAATAATTGATCTCACCAAACTTTTCAATTGTTTATAGAGTAAATGACAGAAATAGTCCCTACTCAGGTATGGACATATCTACAGTTTTTTCAAGTTTTGGAAAATTAATGTCGACTGTCTTTATGGTTTTTTAATTGAGCACTTTTGGTCCCTGTAGTTGTTATCGTGTATGCCTCTCCGTTACTTTAAAGCCATCACATATGTCATGTGACTATGTGAGGGCTTTTTAGTTTTTAGTCTTTTTCACCCCCCTCACGTTAACGTTTATGTTATGAACCCATAACCAATTTGAAGAGTCGTGTTTTTAGTCACTCTATCTCTATGTATATTATTAATATAATTGGTGCTTGATCACATAGTAAAATATATCTTAGTTTAATTTGTGCTTGATCACAAGAAATGAAGATGATGAACTCTCGGTATCAACTTTCAACTGATGTTTTGTTATCCTCATTAAATCCTCCAATTACATCATCCTCTAATTACATGAATAGTTTAACTTTGGTTTGCATGTTTTTGGACACTTTCTATAATGCATCAACCAAATCATAGGTTATATTTGGTTTTCATTATTTTCAATTGACGTTAAGAAAATTTTGGTGTCTACATGTGGGCATTGGATGAAAATTTTCTTAAGCTATTAGAAGTTACGTGTGGGCATTGGATGAAAATTTTCTTAAGCTAGAATTAGAGGAGGTTGGTCGACATTTTTAATGGTTTACTTTCACTAGTAAACACTATTCGGTAGAGTAACTATAAATGACTTAAAAGGGTAAGGAAAATTTTAAAATGTTCAAAAAAATATCATTATGTTTTTTTAGTACAAAATAAAATACCTTTGAAGTATATTATTTGTATAAAATGTTAGCTCATATGTTGTTAGCCTATATGTTTATGGGCCTTTTAGCTTCTAGCTGATTAGGGTTTGGTCTTAGTTAGTATTTATTCTCCATTTTCTTGTTTGTAGTTTTTATGCTTTTCATTGAGAACCGTGTAATTTCTCTCTTTTAATAATCATATTGTAATATAATCATGCATCAGAGCGGATGTTTGATACGTTGTTAGAAGGTTTTGCAACGGTTATCTGTGGCACCGATCGATCTCTTGCTCCTTTGAAAACTTCTAGGGTTATTGTAGCCATTTCGTTTTCAATATGTTTGATGTTCCTTCGTTGATGTTAGTTTGTTGTTGCTGTTTGATTGGTTGCTTCTGTTGGTTTGTTGCTCTTCTCATTCTCTGATTGGTTGTCTATTGTTGTGGTTATTTATCCATTGTCAACATGACTGTAAATGATGATTCCCTTCAGTCAATCAGTACTCGACTAGATGGAAAGAATTATACATATTGGATTTATGTTATAAACAACTTCCTTCATGGTAAGAATATGTGGGGTTATGTCATTGAGACTAAAGCCAAACCTTCAATGCCTCAAGCTAAGAATTTCGATTTGTTGTTTGATGCTTGGGAGACTGATAACTCCACGGTCATTACTTGGATTAACAATTCTGATATAAAGTCTATTGGTATGCAGTTGGCTAAATATGACACAACAAAGAAAGTTTAGAATCACTTAAAGAGCCTTTATACTCAATTCAACTTTGCTAAACAATATCAGTTGGAATATAATATTCATGCTCTTCAACAAAATGACCAGAATATTCAAGATTTCTATGTTGTTATGTCTGATTTGTGGGATCAATTGACTCTTATTGAATCTAAAGAGTTAAAAGATTTTGAGCCTTATGTTGTTAGGAAGGAAGAACAATGTTTGGTCTAGTTTTTGATGGCGTTGCATTTTAATTTTGAAGGTCTACATGGAACGATTCTTCACCGCTCCCCCTTCCCTCAGTGGATCCTGTTGTTCATGAGTTGATTGCTGAAGAAACTCGTATCAAGTCTCACGCACATAAAAGGGTTTAAAGCAACCTCCATTTCTACTTCCACTCTTGCTGTTCTTGTTGTTTCCTCTAATCAATCTCGACAAACTCCAATGGTTGCTTATGATAAGTGTGAATTCTGTAAAATTAGGGGAGGTAGTAAAATCTAAGAGTATTGTTATTTTCTATTATCAAACTATGTGTATTACACCCAATGTGTCTTGCACCATTTTTATACTTTCACAATCCATCTCCAAAGCATGTTGAATTTCTCTCTCCAATTCAATTCTATTACAAAGGATTAAAGTTGCTTCCAGTGGATATGTTATTGTTAAGTGGATTTGTAGCAGTTCAATTTTAGGGATATGTAAGTGATAGTGTATGCTAATCGTAACTTTATACAAGAAAAGGTACATGTTATCCACAATTTCTAGGGTTGCATGAAACACTTTGGTGTCTACATGCTTAGAGAGTGTAAACATGTTGATTGAATGCAATTATAAGAAGCTTAACTACTTTTTATATGAAACATTTACTTATGGGTTGCTTAAAGAACCATCTGCTGTTTAAACTGTTTTTTCTTGCCCCTTTTAAATCCATGCGTTCTAACTGTTATTATACCATTTTCATCTTTCTTTTGTGTCCTCTCCCTCCCCCCTCTATCTTTTCATTCTTCTTTCCATATGTAAACTAATATAATTCCCGAGAAAGACTCCAAACACAACATGACTTTGTTTTTGGAATATTATAATGAGAAACAGATGCACCACACCAGGTTGATGATAGATAGCAACACTTTACTTCAATCTCAACAGAGAAAAGAAATGGAACAACTTGAGGTAAAATGAAGGATAAAACACATTCTAAGGTCATAGAATTAATAATAACATTTTATTATAAAACAAAACTGTATTGACAATGTTCTTATTAAGTCTATAGATGATGTATTAGGATGTTTTGAAGAAGAAAAAAACATCTTGATTTATTTATTTATTTATAAACAAATAATGTTTTAATATGTATTTAAGTTTTTACGTTTGAATATAAATAAATAAAATATATTTCATGTCAATAAAGTACTTCGATGTTTGTAAATACGATATTTGTTAATAAGATTGGATTGATGATGTTTGAGTATATCTCACAACATTCAATATATAGATAAATATTTGTGTTTCGTATGCCTTATAATTTTTTGACTTTAATTTCAATCATATATCTATATATAAGATATATAAATATATGTATCCCTATACTAATAAAAGAGTAGTTCTTTTGCCATGTGTCACCATATTAGAGATCTTAATTAATGTGTTGACACTTGTCAATTTATTAGTTCTCCATTTTAAATTTATTAGACCATCTCATTAATATGATGCTATTTGTCAATGTATTTATTCTCTATTTTAAATTTTAAAATTTTTATTATTGTTTTCATTAATTCACAAATAAAAAATATTTAATATATATTAAAAAATTAATTTTAGACAAAACTGCAAATTTGGTCCTTGTGGTTTGCCAAAACCTTTGGATGGGGTCCAAATAGTTTCCAGCTTGCACCAAAGGTCCAAAATCAAGGTTTTCATGGGTTTTTAGTCCATTCTGTCATTGACCGTTTGTTTGGAGCCGTTAGTGCCTTCACGTGCCCTCCATGTGAGGGCATTTTGGTCATTTTAGGTCCTAGCCTCCGTTGCCGCCACTTCAATTAATAAGATTGCAGACTGTACTCACTCCTTCGTCTTCTACTCATACCTCTTGATTCAAACGCAAAAACCCTAACGATCGTCTGAAAATTGGATTGTGTTCATGCTTTTGAAAATGTGGGGACTTAGAAATGTTGGAGAGATTGTCAACATTCAAGAAGTTTATGGTAAGATTCAAACTTAGAAAAACTCTGTATTTTATGATCAAGCTTCAAACTTTGAAAAACTCTAACTAATAATCGTCTCTTTCTGTTTTGAAGATGGTTACCCCAACATATTCTCTATTGAACTTCATCACGGAGGGAGTTTCACAAAGTTTCCAAATATCAGGTATATTAATGGCCAAGTAAGGTACTTTGATGTTGTCGACATTGATGAATTTTCTGTTCATGAACTAGACTTGATGATGAGAGAATTAGGGTATGATGGTACTGAAATCATGTATTACCATTTCCGTTTGCCTAATGAAGGATTCGACTTTGGACTCCGAGCATTAGGTAACGATGATGATGTGCGTAATCTCTCACGGTATGTTACCCATAATAACAAAATGATTAAAGTGTACACAGAGCATGGTCAAACGAACTTGCTTACATATTTTATGTCCCCAACTGGTCCAAGAAGGGTTATAATAGAAGACATGGAGAAGCAGGATTCCATTAGACCCTCATCACCTGTAGTTGCTCATGAAGTGGTAACTCCAATCCAAATTGATGTTGGTGAGGGTGATTTAGGGTTAGCATTAACCTTATACAAATCAGCAACACCTGAATTTAGTAGGTCTAAAGGTTGGAAACATAGTAAAGGGGCATCGTCTTGTAGTAGAATGCTTAATTGGATTGGGAAGGTGCTAAAAAACAATGGCAAGTGGTGAAGTTGATAAGGGTAAGGGTGTAGAAGGATTTGTAGATGAATTTGTTGTAGTTGATGCAGAAAAAGAGTTAAACAAAGAGATTGATGTGAATGAAGAACTTGATGTGAACAAATCCAATGGTGAGGGTGTAGAAGGATTTGCAGATGAGGGGTATAGAGTTGTCATGGATAATGATCCTCAAGGAGTCAATGAATTTTCAACTAACATCAACATAGATGATGAGTTAATGAAAAACTTTCAACCTTTTGAAGGGTTTGAAGACCAAGATAGCATCCCATTTAATGGGTTTGAAGGCCAAGATAATATTCCTTTCAATGATGAGTGGAGACAAGAGGAGCCTGATGACATTGAGTTTGAGAATCAAAACAGTGAAGATGAAGATAGCGACTTTATGATTGATGAGGACAACATAATTGAAGATGTTGATGTTGACATGGAGGATTTCAATCTAAATATTGATACAGAAGCAGAGTTCAATGGATGTCAAAGAAATGAAGATAGTGATGAAGAAGATGATTTGGAGGTAATTGAAAATGACGAGTGGGATTCACTAAGTGATGACTCAGGGGACAACAGGAAAAGAAGAGAAATGATCAAAGAGCTGGGGAAACAAACCTTATGTTCTGCTGGTGAGGTGCACAAGGTAGCTTTTCATATTGGGCAGAAATATAAAGCCAAGAAAGAATTGAAAGATAAAATTGACCTGCATGCTTTAGAGACAAGGAGGAATATCTCATTCACAAAAAACGACAAGAGTAGATTAACAGCTGTTTGTGATGGAACTGTAGTTTTAAATGCAAGTGGGGTAGGTGGACCTACCTCTGGGAAAAAGGTAAAGGGTAAAGATGTAAACTCAGATAAAGTTAAATGCACATGGAAACTTCATGCATCTAGGTCAAGTGAACAGGACTATTGGTTTATTAAGACCTATAATCAGAAACACATCTGCCTCCAAACACGAAAAATCAGATCTTGCACAGCAACATTTCTTTCCAAACGTATTATGGATCAGATTGAAGCTAATCCTGGACTGCCTGTTCGTGCCCTACAAGAGCAACTCCAATCAACTTATGGAGTTAGTATTTCAGAAGAGAAAGCATTTAGGGCAAAAGCATTAGCCACCAAAAATGTTGCAGGGGATTACGTAAAGCAATATGCAGCTTTGAGAGACTATGTACTAGAGCTACAAAAGACAAATGAAGGTACAACTGTAAAGATTGATGTGGTTTCAGAACCTGTGGTTTCATCCCCAACCAGGCAATTCAGAAGGATATACGTGTGTTTAGGTCCTTTGAAGAAAGGTTTTAAGGCAGGTTTGAGAGAATTTTTAGGCTTAGATGGAGCCTTCATGAAGGGACCTTTCCCAGGTCAAATACTAAGTGCAGTTGGTGTTGATTCCAACAATGGAACCTACCCATTGGCATATGCTGTTGCTGAAAGTGAAAACACTTCAAGTTGGAAATGGTTTCTTCAGTGTCTTGCAGAAGATCTTGACTTGTATTCAAATTCCAACTTCACCTTTATCAGTGATAGACAGAAGGTACTATAGTTACATTTAATATTGCATACTAGTTTCATTACAAACTAATGCTAATTTCTTATTTTGTTTTGGTGACAACAGGGTCTTCTACCAGCCATAGAACAATTGTTCCCTAATGCAGAACACAGGTTCTGTATTAGACACATATACCAGAACATGAGGAAGTTATTTAAGACTACAGAGTACAAGGAGTATTTTTGGAGGTGTGCTACAGCCACCACCATACCAGAGTTTGAAGCTGTAATGGTAGAGCTAAGGAATTATGACATAGAAGCATATCAATGGCTCTTGAAAATCCTCCACATCATTGGGCTAGAAGTCATTTTTCAGGTATTTTCTCAATTTGTTGTCTTATTTTTTATTGTAGTATAGATATACACTAACTGTTGTTTTGTTAATGAACTATTAGGAAGGGCAATTTCAGACATGTTATTGAATAACCTTTGTGAAGTGTTCAATAGCAAACTTGTAAAAGGGAGAGACAAACCCATTATCAGTTGTTTGGAGTTCATCAGAGAGTACCTTATGAAGAGAGTATGCAATGTGATGAAGGTGTTAAACAAGTGTCAAGGTCCATTAACTCCAACTGGTACTAGGATTTTGGAAGCAAACACAACACTAGCTAGTAAGTATCATGCACGATGGAATGGGGGACAAAAGTATCAGGTTAAAGGTCCATGGAATGATCAACATGTGGTGGACATGGAGAAAAGGGAGTGTAGTTGTAGAAAGTGGGAGCTTACTGGAATTCCTTGCAAACATGCTATTGCAAGCCTAAATGAAATGGCAGACAACAATGAAAAGGTAGGAGAACTATACACCTATGTGCATAAGGTGTATTGGCTTGATACATGGAAAGAGATGTACTCCTTCAAGGTGGAGCCTATCAAAGGTAGAGCCATGTGGCCTAAGAGTGACTGCCCAACAACTCTTGTGCCTCCACCACACAACAAAGCTATAGGCAGCCAAAAAAGAAAAGAAGGATTACAAGCAGAGGAAAGGATTGAAATCCAGCAATGTAAGAGGCAAGCAAACAGTCAAAGTCAAAATGATAATGAAACTCAATCACTGAGCAGGAAGTTTTTGACTGTGACATGTAGTAAGTGTAAGCAAAAGGGTCACAATGCCAGGACCTGCAAGGCCAAAGATGGGAATTGATGTTTAAGTACTTTTTATGTTTGTCAAGACTTGTTAATGCACTTTAGTTGGTACTTTGTTGCCTTTTTTTGTTCCATTTTGATAATGTACTTTGATGCCCTTTTGATAATGTACTTTAATGCCCTTTGTTGGTAATGATTGTGTTTTGACATTTATCTGTTATGGTCCCCTTTTGGTAATGTTGTTTGTTATTTGTTTATGTTGTACTGTCAAAGCATGAAGATGTTATGGCAATGTACTTAATGTATGCATATAAAACCATTACAATTGCATATTCAAACGTAGAGAAAAACCATTACACTTGCATATCATGTCAAGATCAAACCTTTATAATTTCATATTCATAAAAGGATAAAACCATTACACTTCCCATTGTCATAAAAGCATTACATATACAATGATCCAAAAGATAACACTTTTAAGTGTTACTACCAACAAAAACATATATAAACCACAATTAAACCTTCTAGCACCAAAAGACAACATTTTTAAGTGGTTACTACCAACAAAAAAGTCCTAACCTCTAATTCCTATTTCCAAAACAGCACAAACAACAGAAACAAAACCCACGAGACAAGCAAACACATCTTCAGCTGGCCCACTTCAACCTCATACCTATTCATTGTTCTCAACAGTCCTGGTATGATAACAGTTGATCTTTGACACATAGGGGGATCGAACCACCCCAAAAATGCACATCTGGATCCCTACAAGAATACATTAAAGTAGAAGAGTTATTGCATAACTACCGAAATATCATAACCTAATATGAGTTTGCTTACCATTTTAGGGCATGCATAGAAACGACGACCAGGGTTTCGTGAAGTCCATGAGGTTCGCACAACAAACATTCCCACAGAAGCAGAGCACCATTTTTGAATCTCGTAGCATTAGAAGTAGACGAGAGACGAAGAAGAGAATCCTTTGAGAGACGAAGAAGAAGCTTTTTGCTCTCTTGTAAATAAAAATGAAGAAGAGGAAGAGGATTGCGTATGAGTATGTATATAAAGGAGAAATATGATATTATTTAAAATAAGTACCTAAAATGACCAAAATGCCCTCACATGGAGGGCACGTGAAGGCATTAACGGCTCCAAACAAACGGTCAATGACGGAATGGACTAAAAACCCAAGAAAACCTTGATTTTGGACCTTTGGTGCAAGCTGGAAACTATTTGGACCCCATCCAAAGGTTTTGGCAAACCACAAGGACCAAATTTGCAGTTTTGTCTTAATTTTACATATTTATTTGAATCAACGATTATAATTTCACATAACTAATAAAAAATCTCTTAAATTAATA